ACACCCTTGGATGTCAGATATAACTTTTGCTTCAACTACTTGTCACTATGAAGTTATATTTGTTGAACAACTCACTTAATATGTACATAATAAACTTCATAATTCATAAACTTCAAATTCTAAATACGACTGAATAAAACAAAGTTACAATAATAATAATAAACACACTTTGAAATTTGAATGGTTAGGACAACCTTCCAATCTAATAGGCATGTAGGCTAGTTCTGTTATTCTGTTACATATACTTCTTTATACCTAACATATTATATTACTAAAATACTCTAGTCCAATCACCAATGGCCACGCCTACGACGATCGCCACCGCCTACCACCACTCCACTGTCATAGTGGCGTGTTTGGATAAGCATTAAACGCACTATAAGTGGGTAAAATATATAGGCCGTGGCAGGTGATTGACGGGCAATTATAAAGTGCGCACACGCATGAATGCACCAAATAATGATTACTATATAATAAGCTTTTTGTGATCAACAATTTTAACTTTAAAAAGGACATTCATTGTTGTTAAAATATTTAATTTGGTAACAAAAATGAAAGTCATTGTTCTGTTTTTTTGCTTCTTTTTATTATTACTCTCTTTTCTTAGAGAAACTAATGCAGTTTCTCAAGAAAAAAACAATGGTGTATACATTGTTTACATGGGCGCTGCTGATTCGTCGAACGATGGCACGAAAAATCAGCGAGCAGAACTTATGAGCTCTTTGATAAGAAGGTTAGTTTATATTAGTATACTCTCTTTGTTTCATTTTATATGACACTATTTTCTTCTATTGTCCTCGATGTAGAACTCGTTGGCTTTAGACTCTTTAATGAAATATTGTTACGGTCGTAAAAATGTCATGACACGTTTATGAGGTATGTATTGGAAGTCTTTCTTTCGTGATCGTACTATATTACATGTCCAATCAAACACCATCCGATAAAATGAAACAAAGGGAGTATTACTTATGACTCTGAATTTGTTACAAAATTTTTGGCTGGTTGTCACTTTTTGAGACAGTTGTTTGGTAAGTGATTCTATTTTTATTTCTATTGCAACTTATGGACCTTTTAGACCGCGGTCTGAATATCCCTTTTGAGGAAACTGAATATCTTACGAGAAAATGTTAGGTTAATGGAATTTTCATTATAGTTCATTTTCAAGAATGAGGTTTTAACATGTATCTCTAATGTATGTTAGAAAAAAGGATGCAGTTGTACACAGTTACAGCAATGGTTTCTCAGGATTCGCAGCGCGTTTATCAGAAGCTGAGGCTAAATCCATTGCTCAAAAACCTGGAGTTATATCAGTATTCCCTGATCCAATATTGCAACTCCACACAACGCGTTCGTGGGACTTTTTGCAATATCAAACTGAAGTAGAAAGCAGTTCTGGTCCAATATCAGGTTCTGATAACGCGTCACCAAAAGGCGTTGATACTATAATTGGAATCTTGGATACAGGTGCAACATTTATAAAATGAAGTGCAAGCAAGTTATATATTTTGTATTTTGTATGATAAAATTTAATTTTGACCACTTTTTTCAGGAATATGGCCTGAATCAGAGAGTTTTAGTGATAATGATATGAGTGAAGTTCCATCTAAGTGGAAAGGAACTTGTATGGCAAGTCATGATTCCATCTCTTTCAAATGCAACAAGTAATTTTCTAGCTTCGTATATTTGATTTCGTGTATGATCACACATGTTTTCCACCACATCATATGGTAACTGAACGTTACATAGTTGATAGTACGTGTAACAGTAAAGTCACTAAACTATTTTCAGTCACGTTAAAGTAACTGAACTTTGCCTACCTTAACAGTAAAATTATTAAACTTTACACATTATAGTGACCATACGTTGAATTAACCCTCATAGATATATGACTAGAAACTTATAGAGTTCGCGATTTTTTGATGTTTTATTAGGAAGTTAGTTGGTGCAAGGTTCTATGATGACTCTGATGAGGATGGTGTAAGACCTTCTGGTTCAGCTAGGGATGAGAATGGACATGGAACTCATGTTGCATCTACAGCAGCTGGGAGTCCGATTTCAGGAGCATCTTATTATGGTTTGGCTTCTGGGACCGCGAAGGGTGGATCCCCGGGTTCAAGAATAGCCATGTATCGTGTCTGCATGACTGATGGATGTCACGGATCAGCTATAATGAAAGCATTTGATGATGCAATTGCAGATGGGGTTGATGTTTTATCGCTATCACTTGGTTCATCATCTGGTCTTGAAGTTGAGTTTTCGAGTGATCCTATAGCTATTGGAGCATTCCATGCTGTTGAAAAGGGAATTCTTGTTTCCTGTTCTGCTGGAAATGATGGCCCTGGTCCGGCAACTGTTGTCAACGTCGCGCCTTGGATTCTCACAGTTGCAGCTACTACAATTGACCGTGACTTCGAGACAGATATTGTCTTAGGTGGAAACAAGTTGATTAAGGTAAGAAGAGATACTTTTTCTAAACCAGATCAATCTTGTGTTCTGCTTAGCCAGAGGAAATGTCAAAACTATCTACTATAATACTTGGTATCCTTGTTTGAGTTGCAGGGTGGAGGTATAAGTCTTGGTAATTTGACAAGATCTCCAGTATACCCGTTGATTAGTGGCGATTTAGCCAAGTCCGGCAATACTGTTGTTTCGGAGAAAAATGCAAGGTAATTTGAAGAATAGAGAATATTAGGATACAACATTTGATGTCTACTCATACAGTCAGGCCTCTCTATAACAACCATGTTTCTTTTGGAACCAATTTTCCATGCTATGTTATATTATATGTTTTCTATAACGGCATTTCTCTATAGCAACCAAAAGATTCCTGATACAAGATACTGTTATAGAGAGGTTTGACTGTAGTACATACCTATAACTAACCAAAGTGTTTCAGGTTTTGTAATCCGAATTCATTAGATGGAACCAAAGTTAAGGGGAAAGTTGTTCTTTGTGATAATCGCGACGGATACTATTCACTTACTGAGAAACTAACAGAAGTGAAGAGCAAAGGTGGCATTGGATTTATAGTAGTAGATGATAATGCAAGAACTGTGGCACCTAAATTCAAATCCTTTCCAGCAGCTGTTGTAACTGAAAAGGATAGCAATGAGATCCTTTCTTACATCAACTCAACAAAGTAATTAGTTGGCCATTCTGAATTTCATTTGTTGCTAACTGATGATTTTTTGCTTATAATATTCTTCAAAACTTGTGAAGGAAACCAGTTGCATCAGTTCTGCCAACTGTTACCATAGCTAACTACAAACCAGCTCCTCTTGTGGCTTACTTCTCATCAAGGGGTCCTACATACAACACACATAATCTCCTCAAAGTAAATACTACTTTTATCCTTTTTCTTACTAGTAGTATTATCATTATTCACGTAGTTTCTTGTTCTTTGATTTCGGCTATCACTGGTGTTTTTTTGTTCTCCGACTATTGCATTATTTTGTGGTAGTTACTGTTCTTTCTTCTGTCCGTTGTATAATGCATCTCCACTTTGCATTATTCCGTTGTTGTTATTGCTCCCATATCTGTATCCCCTTTTGCAAACTAATTGTCATGCTTACTTTAAACCGAGAGTCTATCGGAAGCAGCTTCTCTATCTCTACGAGGTAGGGGTAAGGTCTACATACACTCTATAATAATATGTTGTTTATCTTCTTTGGTTATGCTCTAATGAAGATAGAAAAACAACAAAAAATAGGCCGACTCAAATTTGATATTTGTCCTTGCAGCCAGATATTACAGCACCAGGTGTTGCAATTCTCGCGGCTTGGCCTGGAAACGACACAAACGAGGCTGTCGCTGGCCAGGCGCCACCACTTTACAACATAATATCAGGGACTTCCATGTCCTGCCCTCATGTTTCTGGTATTGCCGCATTAGTCAAGGCGCAAAATCCTTCTTGGAGTCCTTCAGCAATCAAATCAGCTATCATGACCTCAGGTAAGAAGTCGTAACTCACCTACTACAGTTTATTTTAGGTATATAGACTCATATCAATGTCGTGAAAACAACCTCTTGCAGAAATGTAAGGTAAGATTGTATATAATATACAATGTGGTAAGCCTTTACTCCGGCAAAAGTAGGAGCTTAGAGCATCGGACTGCCTTTTATACCGACTCATGTCAATCTTTGTTTTTACAGCTTTACAGACTAACAATTTGAAGGCTCCAATCACAACAGTCTCCGGCTCCGTTGCAACACCATACGACATAGGAGCTGGAGAAGCAAGCCCTTCATTGGCACTTAATCCAGGATTGGTCTACGAGACTAACACTGCAGACTACTTGCAGTACCTATGCTCAGTTGGCTACGATAAATCAAAGATAAAACTCATCTCAAATACTGTTCCTAATGATTTTTCATGTCCCACCAACTCAAGTTCTGAATCCGTCTCACAAATGAACTACCCTTCCATTGCTGTTTCAAATATCAAAGAAAATGAAATCAAGAAAGTAACAAGAACTGTAACTAACGTAGGACAAGAAGACGCAACATACACAGCAAGTATAAAAGCACCAGTTGGTTTGGAAGTCCAAGTGACCCCGAATAAATTGGTATTTACAAATAATAGCAAGAAGTTGAGCTATGAAGTGTCTTTCAAAGCTTCATCTAAACCAAAGGAAGACTTGTTTGGATCAATTACATGGACAAATGGTAAATACAAAGTCCGAAGTCCATTCGTTGTATCTACTAATTCACAAGGTGTCTGATAACACTCCCAAACAGCAGATCGCCGATCAAACTAGTCTAGCAAGTTTGTATGTACTGTAATAGTCCATGAACACACCTATGTTACTACTACATCATATACATGCTTACTTGAAAAAAAGAAGAGAAATAAAGATCAGATGACAGACTTGTTCACAGAGTGAGAATATAATACTACCTCCGTTTCAATTTGTTTGTCTGATTTTAACTTGACACATAGTTTAAAAAGCAAACACTTATGAATCTTGTGGTTTTAAAATAAGGATACATTGGATGTACCAAAATGTGCTTTAATCTTGTGGTCTTAAACACACCATGTTGGAGTGTAAATTTATCAGAAGAAGCTACTTAAATGTTGGACAAGAATTTTATGAACTAAAAGCCTGTATGCTTTTTCTGTAAGATGAAAACTATCCCAAAAGACATAATCTGAATCACTGGAACACGCGAATCTGCATAACTCTGCAACTTCTATTTGCCCTGTCCCGCAGCATCCTTTGTCTGCAATCTTGAATCCTGCACAATCATATAAAGATAAGAAACGGAGATCTTGTTGATATTCAGGAGAAAGACAGACATATCTGTACCATATTTTTGAGGGTTGTTGATGACATCAAGTGGAAGATTGTATATATCAACATATACTAATCTCGAATTAGGTAACTTGTTTCCCAGAGAACTTAAGTCGGCTGCCAACTTGCTGTTGAACAATAGTGCTGCCTGGTTCAAATAATCAACACATTGTCTTTCTTCTCCTCCTTTCAGTGTTCTTTGCGATGGCAAACATCCGATTGGTGGTATGCCAAAAACACCAATCCGGCGTGCCCCTAACTCGTGTAAATCCTTCAGAATCATGAACAACATCTCATTATTTAGTAGTGTACATTTCCATAAGTTCAGATTGAGTTGAAATGTTATATTACCTTTAAAAAACTAGAACCATAGTTGAGCAAAAAATCAGCATATGATGAAATATCATAGTAGGATTTTCGAAGAGGCGTACTGAAGTATGTGTTTGTAATGTCATTGCTACCTATGACCAATATGTATAAGCTGTTTGCCAAGATTTTATTCTTTCTATTTTCTCCAACTATCTCTTTGAGCTTTACTATGTACTCTTTGAACATTTCCAACTGACCGGACATGATATAACATTCTGCATTTACATATGAAAGTTCTCAGAAATATAAGAAAGGTAAAAGCTTATAACACATAAAATAAATGAATAAAGGAAAGAAATATACCGCGATTTCAGATGTTAGAGGATCATATCCTGCACCTCCTGAAGCCAAATTAACTCCTGTGATGAGGTCTTCTGCTTGTAAAGTTGGATCAAGATACGCCGGTAAAAGCTCTTTTATTCCCAATTCTTCCACTGAAATAAGATAAACATGAACTATTCTCTATAGTGAATTATAGATAAGACAATTAAAATTATGATTTATATGTCTAAGTCTTCTTACCAATCAAATCTGGAGGAACTTTTCCATTTGAGAATCTTCCAGTTGGTTTTCCTCCCATGAAATCCTTCCCATAAGGAGGATAGTTAACCTTCCCTATGGTTGTAAGGCCATTATTGTTACCGGTATCAACAATGGAGTCTCCAAAAACTATCACTGCTGGAATAGACTTATTACGTGGTACATTCATGTCTGCCTGGACATTGCACAGTAGAAGTGCATAACAAATGCTTGACAACACTAGAAAAGTATGTCTTTCAAACGAGAAAAACTTCATCGATAGAGCTGAAAACATTTCTCGGAGCATGGAGGAAAAAACACACAAACACTAGTATTTAACTTTAATGATCAAGAATTCAATTTCTAGAGGGAACTTGAGGGCTATCATGGTTAGTAAATGCTTGCACTTCTTGTTGATTTAATGTTAGCTTTATTTGATAGGACAACATCCACATTTACTTAAGTCACAAGCTGATTGTAGAAAGGCTCATCACATGACCGTTATTCGAATACAACAGATAACAAACATTGCATTAAATGATTGTACCTACCCCATGTCAATTTTCTAGAGTAGTGGCCGGCAACTTAGCCAAATCAGAAGAAAATTATGTCTTCTCAAGGAAATGAACTATCATATCTGTTGCATAATGCACATTTTGTTCAAAAGATTCTTCTTTGGTTATGGTCTAATGCATAAAACACAACAAAAAGTAGTCTGATTGGATTTTGAATTGTCCTTGCTGCCAGATATTCTAGCACCTGAGGTAACCATTCTCGTGGCTTGGCCTAGAAACGACACAAAGGAAGCCGTCTTTGGCCAGGAACAAACCATTCCTCAACATATATACTATCAGGGACCTACCATGTCCTGCCCTGCCTTTTTGGTTTTGCTGAGATTGTCAAGGCGAAAAATCCTTCCTGGATCCCTTCAGCAATCAGTTCAGCTATAAGAAATGTAATTCACCTTCTTGATTTTTTGGGTATACTGACTCATGTCAAGCTGAGTGAGAGCTTAGTACATCTAGCTGCCTTTTCTATATACTGGCTCATATCGAGCTTTGTTTCTACAGATATACACACAACAATTTGAATGATCCAGTCACAACAAATTCTTGATCCCTTACGTACAACACCATATGAGATTGGGGAAACAAGTTGAGCTATGAGTGTCTGTTACAGCTTCATCTAAACTTAAGGAAGACTTTTTTGGATCAAGAAACTCGGCAAATGGTAAGTTCAAAATCTGAAGTCCATTCGTTGTAATCACTGACTTATACAATGTCTGATACAATGTGAATACAACTATGTTATTACCACATCATGTACTTGTTTAATCAATATAAAAGGAAATAAACATCGCAGATGACACATGAATCGATCCATGTATTATAATTCTTGTATAATTATTTGCAAACCAAACAATGAGGATAGTACATAGAATGAACTAATGTTCTCCTTCTCTTTGAGTACACCTAAAAAAAAAACATATTGTTGGACTTTTGCATGTGGAATATATCAGAAGAAGCTACTTAAATGTTGGACAAGAATCTGATGAACTAAAAGTCTGTATGCTTTCTCTGTAAGATGAAAACTATCCCAAAAAATATAATCAGAATCACTGGAACATGTATATGTGCATAACTCTGCAACTTCTATTTTCCCCGTCCCGCAGCATCCCTTGTCTGAAATTTTGAATCCTACACAATCATATAAATATATGAGAAATCTTGTACATTTAACTATTCAAGGAAAAAAAAAAACAGTTACCATATCGTTGAGGGTTGTCGATGACATCAAGCAGAACATTGTATGTATCTACATACACCAATCTTGAATTAGGTAACTTGTTTCCCTGAGAATTTGAGTAAGCTTCCAACTTGATGTTGAACAATTGTGCTGCTTGGTTCAAGTTATCAACACATTGTCTTGCTTCTCCTCCTTTCAGTGTTCTCTGCGAAGGCAAACATCCGATTGGTGGTATGCCAAATATACCAATACGACGTGCCCCTAGACCGTATAAATCCTTCAGAATTATGAACATCATATCATTATTTAGTCTTGAACATTGGCATAAATTCAGATTAAGTTGAAATGTTATATTACCTGTACAAAACTGCAAGCAAAGTTGACCAAGAGATCAGCGTATGATGGAACATCATAGTAAGATTTTCGAAGAGGCGTACCGAAATAAGTGTTGGTAATGTCATTGGCTCCTGTGACCAACATGAATAAACTATTTGCCAAGATTTCATTCTTTCTATCTTCTCCAACTAACTCTGTTAGCTTTACTATGTACTCTTTGAATAATGTCACTTGGCCATCCAATGAGATGACTTTCTGCATATATACATTAAGTTTCAGAACTAAAAGAAAAGTGCTGGTAAAAGAACACACTGATCAATGAATAAAACAAAAATTATGTACCGCGATTTCGGATGTTAGAGGATCATATCCTGCACCTCCTGAAGCAAAATTAACTCCTGTGATGAGGTCTTCTGCTTGTAAAGTTGGATCAAGAAATGCTGGTAAAAGATCTTTTATTCCCAATTCTTCCACTGAAATAAAGACAGAGAGACTAAGAAAACTCTTCTCTATTCTAACTATAAAATAGATTGGACTTTATAACTACGCTGCTCTGACACTCGAGATATGTTGCTGCACTCGTGTCAGATTCTCCAAAGATGCACTACTTTTGGAGGATCCAACATGCACCAGTCAACATTTTGCAAGAGTCCAAGCAACATATATAGTCCTTTATATTCAAACTATAGATAGATAGCACATTACAACTATGTTGCTCGAACTCTCCAGAAATGTAGTTGCACTCGTGTCAGATCCTCCAATGATGCACTACTTTTGGAGGATTGAGCATACACCAAAGTCTACATGTTTTAAGAGTTAGAGCAACAATAGATGTACAATATAGTCTTCTCTATTCAAACTATAGATAGATAAGACATTACAACTATGCTGCTCTGACTCTCCAGAAATGTTGTCGCTCCCATGTCAGATCCTCCAATAATGTACTACTTTTGAAGGATCAAAACACGCACCCCTCGACATATTTTAAGAGTCTGAGCAATATAGCTGTACAATATATAAAAATTTCTTACCAAGGAAATCTGAAGGGACTTTGCCATTAGAAAACCTTCCAGTTGGTATTCCTCCCATGAAATCTTTACCATAAGGAGGATAATTAACCTTAGCTATAGTTTTAAGGCCATTATTGTTACCAGTATCAACAATAGAGTCTCCAAAAACAAACAATGCTGGAATAGACTTATTAGGAGGTATACTTATGGCATAACAAAAACTTACACAAAAAACAAGAAAATAACATATTTTGAAAAAAAGGAACTTCATTGATTAAGTTGTAAACTTTTAGCTTTGGTGGAAAAAAACACACAAGAACTAATGCTATTTAACTTCAAGAACTCAATCATGCTGAGTAAATGCTTTATTAAATTATGTGTACAAAAATTATTGCATTTTTATGAAAGCCTTAGACTTTAATGTTTCCTTTATTAGGAAGGTCAGCATCCAGCCATCCACCACCATGCCCATTATATAAACATGTATCTTTTAGACAAGTTAGCCAACTGTGAATTGTGATTGCTGGAGGACAGCAAGAGCTGCTTTCAAGATCAATTTACTATGTCCGTTTCGATTTATGTGACACTATTTCTTTATTTGTATGTTTAAAAAAGAATGACACTTTTCTGTAGATGGAAATAGGGCGGAGGGTTTCGGCAAAAAATACCAATGTTTATACATAGTTAAAATTATTTTCTATGTCTATATAATAGATGCTTAATCTCCTTTGACTTCTTTATATATTTGTTTTTTCATATTTTGAAACCCCTTCATACAAAACCTGACTCTGTCACTGGATACTTGTTTACAAGACCTTGTTTTTATGTTAAAATATTTATTTAATATGTATAAATAACCTATCATGAATCCATTAAGAAAAAGACATCGAATCTCAAAATTCACAAATTAAAAATCCTAACTCCATCTCTTTTTGGAAAACAACTAACTCTAAACTTCTTATTTCATCTTTAATAGGAAGCTTCCATATAAACACGACAATATTTAAGATCATAAGTTTCAAAATTCTTTTTTTAAAAAAAAAGTCAAATTATGACACATAACTTAAAATGATGGAATATGAAATGAGAGTTTCCTTCTAGAATATGAATTATAAACATGTATCACGGACAAGAGTAATTTGCACATGGGTTGAAAGATAAGAAGCATTAAGTGAGTATACCTACCCTCAACAAACAACTGCAAAAACACTAAAGATACAGCATGTGCAACTTCATTCTTCATCACTAAATGCAAGTTAAGAGTGGTCTCTATTTAGTAGAAAATCAAGACATATAGTAGTACTTTTTAATGGGTCGGATAGGAGGTTTTTGATTAAAATTGGTTTAATTTAATGTCTGTTATAAAAGGGAAACTTATAGAAATCTCACTGTTATAAGAGCTAATTATTAAGATACACGCTAGTTTGCAATATTAGTGAGTCCATATACATGTATCTGGGGATACATGTGATCAAAATTAGGTGTAATTAATTTGTTCTACATACATTGTATTCGAGTGGATTCACATGTATCTCAGATACATAGCAAATCTCGCTCGCCTCCCTCCCATCTCGCTCGCCACTCTCCTATGTATCTAGTATTCTACATACATGCAGATAACACTAGACGATATATGTATCTGGTGTGATTCGCATGTATATGAGATACATGAATATCTCGCTGGCCTCCCTCCCTATTTTAGTGTATCTTGTAGCAAAAATACATGTATTGAAATATATCCTTTTCAATATATGGTAGAAAACTCTTAATTAATAGTAAGATACATAATTATTTTAGATGGATTAAGGGAAACATAATACCAGCTTTAAAACTATATAACAACCACACACACTTTAAATGTGTAAGAGTTTATGTTTTATATAATTTGATATAAGAAATATTTATACAAAGTCAAGTTATTTAAAAGTAATTACAAGATAACTTTATTTAATAGTAATATTAATTGATAACTTAAAATAAATAGTAAAATTATCTAATACTAATATTAAGTTATAATTTAAAATAAATAGTATTCCCGTGATATATTAAATTTCAAGTAGTTCGAAATTTTGGAGGCTCCTATTTTTCCTACAAAGAGTTAGCAAGTCCGTGAGTTATATGGATTGATGGTGTAAATTTTTTATATATATAATTAAGTCAATTAAAAAATAATTTGGCTAATAATATTGATTGTAATCTAGATAAATAGTAAGTAACTAGTTATAGAGGATTAAATTACACTGATAGATCATATTAGGTTATACTACGACAACAATCAAATTCCAGTAGAATATTGAAATGAAACACAATAATTTTCAGCCTTAAATTAATCAAATGTTTATTAACTGGATTATAATCAAATCTTGATATATAATTAATGTTTACAATAAGATTATTAATTGGAGATTTGATCAAGGAGAACCCTATAACCTCTCTCAGTGAGATGATAACTGTCCCAAAATAAATAATTTGCGTCATTTTCACATATTCTTGTGATATTGTCACATAATAAGTACACATTCCCTCCTTGGCAGCACGCACTCAATGCATCTTCAAAACCTAAGATTTACGAGTGACAGAAAAATTAGTTCATCAAAATATAATTGATCTAAAATTCATCTACGAATATGAAGTTGGAGAAGATTGGTGTTTAATATTGTACCATATTTGTCGTGGTTGACGATGATATCGAGTAAAGGATCGTAAATATTGATGTAAAGAAGCTCGATTTGAGGCAATTTTTTGTTTAATGAATAAATTTTATTTGATAATTTGGTATTTGCTATTTGGGCTGCTTGATTGTATTCATCGACACAAATTTTAGATGGACCTCCACCTCGCAGTATCTGTGATGGCAAACACCCTATTGGTGGAAGCCCAAATATCCAAATTCTTCTTCCTCCCATATTGTACAAATCCTTTAAAAAAAAAAAAAGTAACAATCAAAATATATATGATATATAAATAAACTTATAATCATAAAATCGACTTGTTATATAAGTTTATGCTTTAGTTGAAATGAGCTTATAATCATAAAAATCGATTCAATTGTTGGGTTATATATAAGTTCATGCTTTCTTTGAGATGAAACTATAGCTAACATTTCATAATTACAAGATCAAAGCTTTTAAAAAAAATGCCTAACACCATAATGATCGATAACGATTCAAGATAAAAGTTGATTCTCAGGACATAATCATTATATATACTAGTAATCTAATTTCACGTCATTTTTGCTAATCTCAGTATTACCATAACTTGCTTTTTATTATTGTCTGTTGTACATAAGAACTTGCTTATTATTATTGTCAGTTGTACATACATAGGACTTTTCATAAGTTGTAATTATATTTGAATAAATAAACAATATACAATAATAACAGGTGGTGTCACTTGAGGTAAGGTATATATATCCGACCTCATAACTTATTACACATACAATATTATATAATGTCAATATACAGAACTTAAACTCAATATATAATCAAAACGTGAAAAAAGGGAAATATAGGTATTTATACTTACATTGATAAAATTGGAAGCTCCATCTACCATAAGATTTGTATATGAGTCAACATTGTATTGTATCTTCCTTGGAAATTTGAGCATGAAATATGTATTACATAGGTCATCACTTCCAGCAACTACTATATAAAGACTCTTTTTAACAATATTCTTTGTTGCTTCTTCACCAATAAATCCATTCATCTTCCAAATATATTGTTGAAAAAGTGCTAATTGTACTGATAGGGGTAAAGCTGACTAATTTACATAAATAAAAAATATATATAAGAAAATATATAGGTAATCATTATTCACTTTTAAAAAAGTGGAATTAGTTGCGAACAAGTTTAATTGTTCAGCTGTTAAATTTATCTGTCGCTAATTCCTGTTTTTTAGTAGTGAATTAAAAAGTAACTTTACATGTAAATAATTGGATAGAATAAGAAGTTACCGCGACAATAGGAGTTAAAAGGTCAAATCCAGAAGCTCCTGAAGCAAAACTTACTCCAGTTTTTAAATCTTCAACTTTTAAATTTGAATCTAGATAAGCTGGCATTAGCTTTTTAATCCCAAAATCTTCAACTGAAATAGAACAAATATTAGTGATCATATGGTAAAACTCCTCAACTAATCAATTTCATTTTAAATTAAACGAGTTATGCTGATATTAAATTTTGTATAAGTAATATCACGTTTTATAGCGTGTATAAATGATATACCTAACATGTCTGCTGGTGTCCTGGCATTGCTAAATCTTCCAGTTGGTTTATTACCACCCATGAAATCTTTTCCATAAGGTAAAAAATTACACTTTGCATGAGTAATTAAATTGTTATTATTTCCTTGATCCACAATTGAATCTCCAAAAGCAAAAAGAGCCGTTATATTTATGTCCTTACGTAATTGCAACTTTGCTTCACATGAAATAAATAACATTATAAAAACAGCACACAATAAAGCCATTATTACTATTCTATGCACTAAAAATATTTAGAAAATTTATCAAAGAAATTTGAGGTTTTTGAAAAAATAAATAAATATTTATATATAGAGAGAAGAATTCGTACGTCATATATAAATTGTTACGTTTGGGGTAGGATGGACGTTAAGACGTTGAGAACTTTCGTCATATTATGGGGGAAGACGTTTCGTAAGAGTTTAATTTGTATGCACTGATACTGATAGTGTAAAATTAGTATATTTGTTGTTGTATTTAATTTGTATCTTGTTATTTTGCTGTTAAATTTTTTACAATCTAGTGTTCGGATACTTTTCTTTCGGAAATAATATCTCTACCTCACAAAGATAGAAGTAAATTTAAAATGTGTATTGACTTTCCACGTGTCAATTTTAGTGGTGGGTTTGAGTCTCGTAACAGATGATCACTCTTTTCCGTTTTACCTATTATATTTCATGTTAATAGTTTATTCTCAACTACAAATTAATATTATTAAATAGAATTACACACAATTATATTTTAAGTATCTAATTATGTAAATATATTATACATCATTAATGCGTAGAACTTAAACTCTATTTTGATGATAGTTCATGTTATTATTCTTGTGTTAACGAGAGAGTCGTGGAAAAAAGTGCTAAGCAACGAGAAAAGTGTGATAGAAGAATTTGGATTAATTAATTAATCAATTATCCACGAAATACTCCTACATTTACTTTTTTATATATAGAAAAAAGTAATTTAACTAGCTAACTACTATAATATTCCTCAACACGACTTTAATTAAACAAACCCACACAATTAAATACCATATAAGCGTGTTGCATTAACAATAACAATATATTCAGTATAATTTTACAAATAAGGTCTAGAAATTAAAGAATAAAGTATATATATACTTTATTCTTATGTCGTTAAGATATAAAGATTTTTTTCGATAAACTCAAAAAAATTAGAATTAGCAATAGGTACCATTAAATACCAACTATTCATCATGATTGAACAATTATTTTTTTTATTAGATTCCAACATAAAACACTTTGGATGTACACATAAATGAACCATTAATTGAACACATTTTTTGGAGCCTTGATCCAAAGTAGAAAATTTTGATTATACATAATCTTGATTAACCTCATAATCTACAAGAAATTGTTAATATATTTTTTTAAGATCTCATCAACAAGAATTTTATAACCTTTTTCAGTTGGATGATAACTATCCCAAAACAAATATTTTGTATCATCTTCACATATTCCACTAAATTCATTGCATAATATTATCGCCTCTATTGTTCCAGTGCCACAACACCCTTTCTCTACTTCTTCAAATCCTACAACAAATCCACAATAATAAAATAGATGATCTCAAACAAGAATATAAGAAAATAAAGACAAAAATGGAAAAGCACAAACCATACAGTATATCGATAGTGTGAAGAAATTTTGTGTTATCAGATCACCTTAAAGATATATGTCCTTAAAATAATGTCAAAGTACTTTTTTCATTTGATATGTTATATATGGTTATAACAACGAAAGAAGAAAAATGGTTTATTAGGTTAAGCAAATTATAAGAAAACAAATAAAGAATTAAAATTTATTAATAATTGTAAGGATAATAGGGTTATGGTCGATTGTTTAACCCATTTAATTTAAATCAACTCATTTCAGTCTAAGTAACTTTGGTTAAATAAAACTCCGTCTAAATTTAGCCAACCATTAGATAACTCAATAACCTATCCAGTTCTTAACTCAGTTCATCTTGATCTGTCTAAATTTGAATCAACCTACATGTTTGGTGTCCCTAATATAAGTCATAAAATAATAGAAGGATAAGTATATAGTACCATATTTTTTAGGGTTGACAATAAGATCAAGAAAAGTATTATAGATATCAATGAACACAAGCTTGGACTGGACCAACTTCTTGGATAATGAATCAATTTCAGTAGAGAATTTTGTGTTGGCCATTTGGGCTGCTTCATTGTATTCTTCAGAACACACTCTATGTAGCCCACCAGCTAATGTTCTTTGTGATGGCAAACATCCTATTGGAGGAATTCCAAATATCCCAATTTTTCTTGCTCCCAAGTTATATAATTCCTTTTAGAAAAATAAAATTGAATCAATACAAAATTGATATCCCAACTTTGTATTGATATACAAAAGTTGTATATACGAATTCATTCTTTTATCGGTTTAATCATTTGATATCTGATTAAATGAAAATATAATAGGCATAAAGGTATATACTAACTTGGAGAAATTCAGTAGCTTTGGCCACCATGAGATCAGTATATGAGTTAATATCATGCTTTAATCGACCTCCAAGAGTGAAATATGTATTTGCAAGATCATCACTTCCAGCGACCACCAAAAATAGGCTATTTTTTAAAATATAGGTAGCTTCTTCTTCTCCAACTAGCCTTTCTAGCTTCCCAATATATTCTCTGAACTGATTTAATTGTGTTGATAGAGATAAAGCTGACTAATTAACATAAACCAAAAATAAATAAACAAGAGAAAAAAATAGAGTTTTTTTTGTGTGTGTGTGAGAGACAAGAATGGTTAGTGTTGTTAAATATGGCTATATTTTAAATATGTTGCAAAACTGACTATTTTCTAAACTTTTGAAATATTTTAAAATCAAACTTCATATTTTATATAGTATCAATGACAATTTTTTATTTTTTAAATAGCCATACAAATATATATTGTACGTTGTATTTATTAAAATCACAAATTTCAAAGTTACCGTAATGATAGATGTTAGAGGATCAAATCCACAACCTCCAGATGCAAAGCTTACTCCAGTTTTAAAATCTCCACTTTTTAAATTTGAATCTAAATAAGCTGGCAGAATCTCTTTTATCCTCAATTCTTCAACTGAAAACGGACAAATATGTCAAATTTTCAAATTTATTGTTATTTTTCATCAAGATATGAACAATTTTCGAAAAGTAGAAAAACAAATATGACTCTTTTTCTGAGAGAATATATATGTGTATTTTTACCTAGCAAGTCCGGCGGCGTCTTGCCGTTGCTGAATCTTCCGGTTGGAATTCCACCGTTAAAGTCTTTACCATAAGGTAGAAAATTACTCTTGGCCATAGTTGATATATAGTTATTATTTCCTTGATCAACAATTGAATCTCCAAATGCAAATATTGCTTTTACAACAATTTTTTTGATAATTGCGCTTTCCCTTCACATGACCTTATAGTAAAAATTAACACAAAATAAACAAAGTAGTATAATATAGCCATGATCTTATGCATCATTATTATTTTCTTGGAGAACTTTTGAGTATAGTTTTTAATCGGGTTTTTGTTTATTTTTATAGAGGCTAAGAAAGTATTTTTATATGCAGCCGCGCTACTATTTAGGTGTGCACAGAGTAAAATCTCAACTCCTATACAATATCTCGCAAACCACACGAGAGGTAATGGGCACTAGGCAAGCCCAATATGATGAGCTCGACCCAGAAGACAAATCCCTTATTTTTGCTGGCAAGGAGTTTCGAACTTGAGACCTCCAACATGAAAATTCTAAGCCTAAACCGCTGGGCCATCAACCTACCACAAAAGACATGTACGGAGTAATACGAATATATATGTATTTGCATGTGTATATACAATTTTCTTGCGCTTTATACAAACAGAAACGCAATTTATACAATTCTGTTGTATAAAACGAGAAAGAGAGAAAGACAAAAGAGAACTGGGCAGGGAAATATTTTTATTGTATAATTATAAGTGTATAGGACGAATATATATGTATTTGCATGTGTATATACAATTTTCTTGCGCTTTATACAAACAGAAACGCAATTTATACAATTCTGTTGTATAAAACGAGAAAGAGAGAAAGACAAAAGAGAACTGGGCAGGGAAATATTTTTATTGTATAATTATAAGTGTATAGGACGAATATATATGTATTTGCATGTGTATATACAATTTTCTCTCGCTTTATACAAACAGAAACGCAATTTATACAATTCTGTTGTATAAAACGAGAAAGAGAGAAAGACAAAAGAGAACTGGGCAGGGAAATATTTTTATTGTATAATTATAAGTGTATAGGACGAATATATATGTATTTGCATGTGTATATACAATTTTCTCTCGCTTTATACAAACAGAAACACAATTTATACACTTCTGTTGTATAAAGCGAGAGAGGCGAGCACAAAGGGAGTGAGCGAGAGAGGAGAGTGGCGAGCGAGAGTTTGAGGGAGAGAGGCGCTGACAAACAGTTTGCTACAGGACACAATTAAATCAAAGTGTGATTATACCATTTAATTTGAATTAATAGTTTGTCATTATGTATAATTTTCCTTTTTTTTTACGAGATACGCATCTCAATTTGTGTGACACTCAATGTTTTTGCAAAGAAAATGGAAGGCTTTTGAAAGTACATATCATAGAGGCTAAGAAAGTACATATTATATAGGGAATTTAAGTTATACACTTATATATGTTAGTCATAAGGATTACATCGAGTAGCTTGACTTTTGTGGTTAATTTCTCAAATATGCAAAATCTTGCACGTCATTTCATTATTTCTTCTCTTTTTTTTGTCCTAAAAAAAGAAGAAGAGAATAACAAAAATGGTCCCTTTATGTTTTTTGGCATGTTCAAAATGATCTCTTAAATATATATTCTTGAACAATTTTAGTCCTTTATCAAAACACCACCACCACAACAACAACACCCAGTGTGTGTCTATAAATGACACTATAACAAAAATAACTTTTAATGACAATAAATATACATATTAATAGAGAAAGCTAAAACATTATTGGCATTAGTTAATTATCATTAGATATAATGCCGCTATAGACTTAAACGATATTTACAACAAGTGTTAAAATGTAATATGTCAGTAGTAATTGGCTCTAAAAGATATATCTAGCGGAAATTAAGTTGTCGTTAATTAATTGACTGTAAAGATTTATTTTTTATGTCGTGTGATGTGTAGAGAAAGTGAGGTGTATGTAGACCTTACCCCTACACCCTACCTTTGTTG